GCACAATAATAAATCTTTGTACACTTTATGCACATAGTAGCAGTAGATCTCTTTGTGAAAGAATTCGTCCAGGCTAGTACTGTCACCCTATCTCTGCCGCCAAGCAGGAATTCAAATTCAAAGCATTTATTTCGGACATTCATCCATAAGGGTTAGTAATTGTGCACTTAAAAATAGGGTTAATATTACAAATAATAATTATACTTTTTTCTTATTGATATGCATTCGAGTTTAGCTCATGAAGAGCCCTGGAGCCTGGACTCTTAGGAGGCCATTACCGCTATCGCTACCACGAATTCTGCGCGTCAAGGAAGCCACTCTTTTTCGCATAATCGCCGCAAAGCCATCTAATGTGATGATGAGCGTTACTATGTTTTGATTTTGGTGCTGGTGAAATTAATAATAATAATAACGCGCACACACTCATAGCCCCTAGCACTAGGGAAACCCTGTATCGCGGGTGCTATGGACACATACATAGACTACCACAAAATACACCCAAACTCACTAGAGAAGTAACTGTACAAATGTTTTTCCCAGCCCGGGAATCGAACCCGGGACGTCTGCGTGGCAGACAAGCTTGGTAACCGTTCGGCCACGAAGGCAGTTACACGCACGTGGGACTTTACAACTTATAGTCTCAGGGTGACGGGCGCAGTGTCAGTGCCCATCAAATGATTCCAATTTAAAGCTCTGAACGGCACTGCCACTGTTGTGGACGGGCGTGGGGCTTACCTCCAGGCGTACGACTTGTTCGTCCCGTCATTTGGTATCTTAAAAAAAAATAGACTTCCGACAACGTAATTAGGGCATCTTGCATTTTCAATATTAAATGCCCAAAGCAATGTTTGATTGATCAAAAATTATTATGCGTCATTCACATAAGTCGTTGTTGAACATTTGAGTTATGAACTTTCTTCGATAGTAACCAAATTGTAACTTTAAGAATAGAAATGCAAGATGACTCAATTACGTGTCCGGTAGTGTAGTAGTAAATCTTTTTCGTTAAAATCTATCTTTAAATGAAATTAGTTTGCGTGGAATGAAATTAGTTTTACCTACAGACCCTACAGTACCTGCAGCTGTGATGGCCGTTAGGTGAGTCAATGAGGTCAAATCTCAATTCATTATCGAGAAAAATAAAATCGAATGTGAGTCGCATCTATAAGTTTTTAGATTTATAATTGGTATTGCAAGGGGTAGCTGATTAAAAGGTTTTAATAAAACGAAAATAAAAATATTTATTTAATATATCGTCAATTCGAAATTGCTTTGTTTTGCATTGAGTTTTGACGCGGGTTTGCAGGAGGTGGAAGTTGTGCTAGCCAGCCATCCCATAAGTGACTATCGTATTAGATTTCATTTTGAAAAATTTCGAATTTCGAAAAACAAATGCCGAGTAGTGTCGTAAAATTACACATTCCATAAGTTTTACTGCACGTCACTATTGACAACAATGTACGGCAATTAGCTCCTTCAACGTTGTTATGAATTAATATGAAACTTGATGAGCGGACATACGTCAAAATGGCCATCACAGCGTGCCGGTACTTATAAGTGGTAACGGCTGAACGAAAGGAGCCTCCGCACGACGTACCACATTGCCTTCCTGTACGTTTGACGCGTCCTGGGCAACACTCGGCGAGTACCGAGCTGTAAGTGTCACATGACAGATACAACAAAAGGAATAATCGAAATCTACACAAATTAGAAACTACCCTTACCAATCTGCAACTAGTGGCCTCAAGTCCTCATTATATGACTATAAAATTGTACAACAATCTACCAATTAACATTAGAGACATAGTAAAAGACACTGACTTTGATAAAACATTGAAAAAGCTGTTAATTAAAAAATGCTATTACAATATAAATGAATATTTCTGTGATAAAAATTTTGGAGGAATAATAATAATAATACGACATTGCTGGAATTTATTTAAAATTATATTATGAAATTGCCTTTGACATTTATTTAATAATATTAAGACTATTATGTACCTATTTTTATTTTGTAAATACTTTTCATTCCATAAATATGATAATGTTGATATCTTTATGAATTGTTAATTTTTATTATTTTTTATTTATTTATTTATTTTTTTTAATATTCAATTATTGATAGCTTAAGTACGTATTAACATCATAACGAATTTAATGCATGCATTGACATTGTTGATAAAAATTTGTTAGTATATTTTATAAATGCCCCTCTGTAATTTGCCATGTCCTTACAGGGCGTCACATGATCCTATACAATGACATAACACCTTAAATTGTATTTAAAAATATACTGTGTACGCGTAAAACAGTATTCACTCGCTAGAAAGAGTACCTGGTTATCGTCGGCTCACTACGAACTGCCCGCATTTCGCTCGCGGCAAGCTCGCGAACCACGTATACACTAAGATTTGTTGTAACAACATACAACGGTTACTACTCGCTAATGAGTACACGGCTTTACGCCGATAGGCAAATACCTTCAGCACGGTGGCCAAAGAACTACAGTGTGTGGCCATTAATACGATAAGAAGTTGCATGAAGTGCCAATTTGACCTCCGTGTCACCTAATGGAAAGTGACGATGAGGTGGATGATGGCGTATGCACATCTATGTCATGCCTATTCACTTTCGCCTTGAGAAGCACCAAATTATAGCGTTGAAGTAACAAGACTGCAAGCGTAATCCGGGTATAATCCGTAGCCGCATAGAAACATTTCATTAAACAATAAATTACGAAACATACGACACAGGATTATAATAATCCAAAGAAATTTATCACGTCTCAAATTATTTTTTATCATGCTATGTTAATAAAATCAAACTTGTTTTATAATGATTCTCTATTATACGTATTTCCCAACCTAAGACGCAATGTCGCTTTTTCTGGCGGAAATATTTCTGTAGTCTATAGAATATTTATACAGAGGAGTGTTCTTTTTTCAGCGGTATAAAAAAATGTGTGTAATTAGTTACATTCCATCACCATTTTGTGTGTACAATTCTCGTAGAATGCCTAATTGAGAATTCAAATTGCTTCATAATGCAAATAAAGTCCGATAATGTAACAATTTAGGGACAATAACATTGGGAAACCACTGAAGGAAAGCATTTGTGTAACAGAACAATGAATTTAAATATTACACGTGCTTGTGTCTAAAAATTTTTGCTAACGATGACCATCCATTGGTAAAGCATCATAATGGCGTCGATTCCGTTGATGATTGCCCAAGCTTAATTTCAGTTCATTGTATCTTACTCTTTCGGTGCCAGAAAGAAAAGGACGGAATATTTCATTTAGTTTACAACTGACAAATAGTCGACTGCGTACTAGTCATATATAAACTTAAACGGCGAGTAATGGTTTATTCTTTGTTGTAAAGGAATAGTAATTTCTTTATGAAAAATAGTGATAGACATAACATTAATACGAGGAATAGAAATAAAATAGCTTTTCTTGATAGTCGTCTTCACAAAGTCAAAAAATCATTTAAGGGGCAATGTATACGCTTCTATAACAAGATTCCGGTTGATATACAAAATTTGCTTTTCACGAGGTTTAAAACTATAGTGAAACAAAAACTTTATACTAAAGGTTATTATACAACTTCTGCGTACTTGGATGACAAAAATCCGTGGTAGTAACCCGTTTAGCTCATGGAGGTAGTCTCGATCTCTGATGTTTCAAATAAATATATATATATTTATATTATTTATATACATATATATATTGTAAATGTTATTTACAAAGAGCAACCCCTAGAGTTTCTCGCTCATTCTTCTCAGGGGAATCTGCCTTACGAATGAGCGGTAGAGTTTAACCATTGTGACGATTTCAAGTGTAATAATGCTTACCTATGAAATAAAGATTATTTTGAATTTGAATTTGAATTTAAATTTCATAATCTCGATCGACAAAAATGCGATGTCTATTGTGTGTTGTTTTTATTTGATATTATGTGATTTTATTTGATCTTTACGTCGATGTATGTTACCAAATATTCAGTTCACTACATATAAATGTATCGATTTAAATAACTCATTGCCGTAGCTTTACAAAAGATATCTTTCCCAAATGAACACATTTGAGAAGCGTCACGCATTATTTTTCCTCGAAGAAACAAGTTTACTTGCGTCACTACTTCGGCAATTGCCCCACACAACTCTCCACATGGCCACCACACGACGCAAGCTCATTGCTGATTGCTTGTTATTCGCCGGGCCGCACCTTAAGGTGTACAATGTCCAAATTATTGAAAAATGTACATTGTTCCATGTCTTTAAGTGTACGCATATTTGCACTGAAGTGTACGTACTGCAGCTTTTCTAGATTAAACTCTACCTGAAAGATGTAATATTCAACTGTCAATGTACAGTCTAGTAGAATCACCGCGGCGCACCATACTTAAGGAACAAATTTTAATTCATTTAATGATTAGGTAGGTTATTGAAATCAATTAGTGTTGCGGCTTTTAAGATTGAAGATTAAGAGTGCTTAAAATATTTTGATTCTTGATATTCTTGAGTACTTGTTTAAGAGAAGGGTTGTGACAAAACTTAATTTTAATATTACGTGTTATGATTATGTTAATATCGAAACATTGAAAACATTGCTTGACAACAAAAACAAAATATAGTGTAGGTTATCGGATTATGACAACAACTTATCATGTATATTCCACAACATATCTCTAGGAAGCTGCCCCAAAATTTAAAAAGATTTTTTGTCGAACGATATGCAAATAATTCGCTCGAATCGCCATAACGCATCTATCCAGAATAGGCCTCATTTATGGCTATTTACAATTTAAATCTTCTGCTATGTTTTTCGTTGATGCAATCGATGACTTATTCGCGAGGTTCTTGTCAGATTGACCAAATAGGCTGGCATATACGCAGAAATTCTCTTAGTACTGATCATTTTAACCAGATGTATGTACCTACGACCGACTTACTTTTTGATTGATATCACTTATCAAGTTCAATATTACATTTTACAGGCAAATACGAAACGCTACTGGACGACTCCCTCCTGGCACTCCACACAATCAACGCTTCACATATTCGCTTCCCTCACCTGGACCACACGTCAGGAACTTCAGAAAAACTTCGCAAGTATTATTCACAATTAGACCTGCCTCTTATTAGACGTTTGTACAAACTCTATGAGCACGACTACCGAATATTTAACTATGACATTGACAACATCGTAGGTTTCAATTTAGGATAAGAGACATACAGTTGCATGTCCCAGTTCTGATAATCAGAAGTGGGATATGCGTAGATTTTTGTGCTGTAGTGTAGTAACGCTGTTTTGTACAATGAACTGCTAATCCAGAGTACAATTTGTTGACCATATTAACCAATGTTACTTTCGTGTTTTTGCTACAATGAAGTCTTCGTCAACGAAGCGCATTATCTCAAATATTTGATTTAACACCTAAGTTGTTGGCGATTGTCACCTAATAAGACTTATGGCCAACTACTAAATCTACAATTACAGCTTATTGACGTAAATACATAACACATTTAATTAACGATCTTGTGCAACTCAAGTTAAGTTCTAATCGATGTCTACCATACAGAAATGTTTAACAATTCTCAAATAATGCATACTTTATGTAATTCGTACTTAGTAGATGTGCACTCAAACAAAGTTTCTTACTAGACAGTAGTAGACTTGTAGTCGAATTTTTAATTAGAAACCAGAAATTGAACTATTAGTGACTGAGCTAATGTCACTTTGAAATATAATCACTGCTTTTCAAAAATACTTAATTTCTGAAAATTGACACATACATACACAAAATTTAGCAGTATGTGTATAAAAAATACAAATATAATATATAATAGATATTTTAAATAGTTTCGTTTGAATTTAACGTGTACATAATCAAATCCGACTGTCGTTATTAGAATGCGTGTGACTAAAAATTTAATTTCGATACTAATAGACCAACGGTCAAAATAAGAATAAAGAATACAATAACGCAATTAGCAATCAGTAGAACGTCGTAACATTCACAATTTTTGGCAATTTTGGCAAAATTTTACCTACTTTCACAATCTATCGATAAAATTTGTCGACAACAACTACATGACTATTTAATATTTTACGAAAATGCAAAAACCCTGCAAAAGCACTTGTGTTATGGAAATAGGAAACAATGACGTTACTATATACACCCAGACCCGAGACAATATAGAAAAGTTTTTTACACAGCCCCGATCGAACCCGGGACCTCAGTGATGGCGACACCATAAAAACCGGCGTGTAAGCTGCTCGACGTCGAAATAGTTAAACAATAATTATAGATTTCTTTTTTAATATGATATTTTAAGTAAGTATTTTCATTTTTAAGTAAAAATCAAAGAGACAAAACTATGAATGAGCATGAATAATTATCGTGTATATATAATTATCGACTAAGACATTCTAACGACGAGGCACTGCCTGGTACGAGGCACAAAGGTATGGTCCCATACAAAAAATACATATTTTATTTTTTTCTTACTAAACTATTACATTTATGGCAAAATATGATATGACAATATTTAATTAGGACAATAGGATCTCACGATTGGCATTTTTTTTAGAGAGCTATCGTGAAAAAAATTCAATATCCGCAATATCGCTAATCCGTCCCATTGTGTCGCAAAGTGAAGATAAATATTAGTGAACCTGCCTGTCCCCAATTACGTCTATTTTTAATGTACTTAAATTATTGCCCAAATCCCGAAAAGGTCCAGGACCTAAAAATATTGTCGTGAGGCAGTCTCCATTTTCTGTCTGTTCCTCAAAAGTGTTGTCTGTCAAAAAGAAACGGAGAACGTTTTTCACCACATATTAATCCGCGAAATAATATTTAATTTACGATTCGTATCTCTACATACTTCTATCATTTTTATGTTATCAAATACTTAATTTTTTAAATTAATATCTACAGATTGTAAAAATTTTTATAACTGTCCTTTACCTACGAGTTACTGAGTGAATAGGTGAAATCGATCCTTTATGACATCACTGTTTCCATAAAAAATTAGCAACCGTCTGTTTATTATCTCTAATTATACATCCGACTAATCTCAAGTGATACAATTGAGTCGCATCTCAACTGATACGCACTTAATGAGGTGATCGCATACTTGACCGCGCCGAACGCATCGAAAGAGCCGAAATAATTGAATTTTAGAATTCCTTGTATTAAATCATATGAAACTTGGCACTCCGCGACAAATTGCCGGAAGAATTCGGAAGGATGTCATCAAATTAGATGCGCTCGCGTTCCTACCGTGCTAGCACTTTCCCACTTTAGAGTATTTTTCCTTAAGTGTCGATACTACCTTAGCTCGAATTAATATTTTTCCCGTACTGAATAGGTTCTATTGTGCGTGTCGAGCGGCAAGAACGACTGTGTAATGGAAGATATAACAACAACTAATCTATTTTCACTTGGTATAATAACATTTGATATAATTTTTAAGGATATAATCACTCACTGTATATAACCAATAAAAGGTATAACAACAAAAGGCATACTTTCAATGTGTGTATAATGAACATTCAGTATAACAAACGTTAGATATAATGATAAAGTGACATAATGAACAAATGGTACAAGTACTACCAGTAGAATGTATTAAATAATATAACACAATATTTCGTTTTACGAATAGTTGAAGCGCCCTACATTATGTTGATAAGATTTTTTTTTTTATTCCATTAAATGTACAATCGCAAAATATAATTATTTTTGTATAGGTTCAAGTGCTTTTTATGTTATAAAATATATTTATCAAAACTTTAAGCAGAATATTTAATTGCATATACTAACCTAACCTAAACCCACAAGAGGAGGTCGAACCAACTAGGAAATGCAAACAAATTCAGTACGTTCACCGTCGCACCTAAACACCATTGGAATTATATTATTTTTTTTTTCACACATACACATTCAACATTATACTCAGTGAATGTTATATCTGTAGTGTTTATATAAAGTGTACATTATGCCATCGGTATATTAGATTGAAAGTTGTTATATCAATCGTCTATTATAACCCAGTGCCCTTTATATCATGCAAGAATATGTGAAATGTCTGTATACCATAAATTAATTATATCTGTTGAGCGTTATATCGACTAAAAATATGTCATTCGTTGTTATATATTACGAATCGCACTCATTCATTTATATTTTCCAATAAATCTAAGAAAGAACTCAGTTCATTTTTTTCAGTATTAATTCTTACAAATTTACTTTTTTCATCTTCCATAAATACAGAACTGACAATAAAAATTTAGTCAAATTCCACCACAATGTACTGATAGTGTTCGCTTTAACAACACTTCAGAAATAACGAAACATAGGTAACTCTTTCGGCGTGGACAAGTGTGCGATCACCGTTAAATGTATCGATCGTTTCATTTACAAGTTTTCGACATGTCCACAATACAATTTAATGTGTAGGTATATTTATTGTCTTTTGTAATAACTTTTTTTCCATGAGTTTAAAACACTAATTATTATCTATCTTTCATTGTATACTAAATAGTCGGTAGCAATCCGCAATATTCCAAAGTTATCTGTGATAACGATACACGTATAACGGCGTAAGAATCATTAATGTATTTTTATCAATTTATCGAATTAAAATACTGGATTTTCATAAATATAATTAAGCTCATTTTATAAACATTATAGCTGTTATTTATAATGAAGATTATAATTATATGTGTTTATGTGAAATTTAAAAAAAACATCGGTTGCAATAAATTTATTATAGATAGGAGAAGGAGGCACCTTTGAATTTTTTTACATATCTGGTTATAAAATCCTAATCATTATTATTTATTTGTTTTGTTTATAACCATTGATAATAAGCACGATCAAAAAGTTTATAATTCTGTCAGAATTACCATTTTTGTGAAGGAACTCAGATGTTCAAAGCTGCCTAACGCCTGGAGCTATTTACACTTAAATATGTTTAATTAAATCCATAGTCACAGGACTATTAAAAAACGTTTGGACGGAACAAAACTCAAAATTTAAATTATTAACTGCAATAAAAAAATAAATAATGACTTAACTTCTTTTTAAGTAATTAATTATAAATCACAGGAATACTTACTACATAACAGAATAAAAAATAAATAAACAAAAGCAACTTCTTACAGAAATATTAGCAAAGGAAACTAATTAGAACTTTGCCATTATTAGTACTTCAGTCAAAATCTGTTAAAATACTCACACAAAATTATTCATTATTTCATTTACTACTACATATTGCACGTTGTAACGCATCTGGCATCAGCGGCAGGTACCGTTGCCACTGTCAGGTGTGGGGCTCGCTACTACATTTTCATTCAAACTGACTAGGCAAACGCATTTGTTCTAAGCAGCCCCTGTTCAAAGGTGCCTCCTTTTCCCCTACGCTTTTTAATTTTACACGTTGATGTTATACTTAAAGATATGTAATGTTTATTCGATATCTATCTTGTACATAGTTATTTAGTAACTTTTATATGTAACATACTTACAAAATGTTGTTATTAAATAATTGGAACAAAGTTAATTAAAATTTTATTGAAATTAAAATCGTCGTAAAACATGATTTCAATTTTAATGACTCTTAGGTACTAGTTGTTTTTATTGAGGAAATACGAGGCAAATATAATGTTTATTATTTGTAATACAGAGGTCATGGAGAATGATTAATTAACGATAATGGATCCGACTGTACTGTATTGTGATATAATTTAATGTTTGACACAAAGAGTTAATGCGCATTTACCGCGTGTTTGATTTGAATACTCTGTGTATGATGTATATTTATTATAAACTCTAAGAAGTTCACGGAAAAAGGGGCCTTTTAACAGAAGTCGTCCACTAGCTGCATTCCGATCGCACCGCAATTACAAAATAACAGTTGGGGGTGCAGTCGGATATCATTTTAGATGCAGACGGCACGACAGCACGCCAGCAGCATCACGTATCAAAAACTAATTGAATATATTTATTTGTTTGCGATATACAGGTTATAAAGGCGTGTTGAGAATTCATTTTGAATCACTGTGATCGACCTTGCGGCATTCAAAGTTTTTATAATGTTTAAGTAGGTATATAATCACGCAATAATTTGTACATTACATTCATAGTGTTCAATGAGCCCAAAAACATAATACTGGATACCCGATAGGCATATCGCAATTATATTATATATTAACAATCATATATATTATATATACCTGGATACCTACGTTGCAGCATGGACGTGGGTTCAAGTCCCACTGTGTCGACGAAAATTTTTTTGTGTGTTCAATCTTTGCGTTGATAATCATAACATAATAAAAAATTTAACATGATTGTCTATGTAAATGTTATGAAAAACCTCCAATATTATATCATTGACGTAAATAAATACTGATGTCTTAAATTCTACACAACTTTTGTAATTCATAATTTCGCACTAAAGTTTATCATAGACCTTGGAGGCCGTTACTTTCTGAATAAATTGTCGTTTATAATTAATAATACAGAGAAAAATTGCTTCGATCTGACGGGACTCGAACCTGCTGCGTCTCTATGCCAAACTAGGGCCACCCCTCTAGCAACTACAGGTGAAATTACAGGCACTTGTGTCTCAAGGTAATGGACGCAGTGGCAGTGCCCCTCAAATCTTTGTGATTTAAAGCTCTGAGTGGCACTGGAACTGTTATGAATAGGCGTTTCGTTTACCAGCAGGCGCGCGAATTATTCATCCCGTCACTTGGTATTAGCAGACTTTCTGTATTTGTTATACAGATCTTTTATATTGGATTTTTACGGCCTTTATTTATCACCTGTAAAAGTCTTATGACTCTTCTTCAGCTTTCATCTGTTTATTTTAAATCTTTGTCATTGTAAAAAACTATGCCCACTAACGTTTTTCAGTTTATTCCATTACAAGGAAGAAAGGAACTAACCAACTGGTACAAGCTGATTGGTTACTTCTTTGTTGGAAAACGATTGGGGTGAAAAAGTAAACCTTGTATTTGCCTGGTAATATTTAAATATGTATATTTGTTGTAATTACGTTGTTTGCGAAATAAAACAATTATATTTTTCTTTATTTTTTTATTTCTGTCCTTCACACGTGTCATAGCTCATGGAATAATAAGCAACAGGAACTAAGATAATTCAATTATTATTAATATGCCTTTACAGTTCGTTTGAAATGATAATTCTCGTTTGAAGTTTCTCTGTACACTCGTTTTTTGTAACTACAAAAACTGGCTTTTTACCTCATTTTTTGTTCTTAAAAATTAAGCATGATTTAAAACTACGTGCCCACAGGTCTAGCGTAGTTTTGACCAATCCTATCTATAGGCAGCTTACAGTCTTTCCATTGGACGGATCGTATCACGAACGGGCCGGTACCGCGAAGAGTCACTGTGGAACATATGGGTATAGTGAACAATACGCTCAGCTTTATCTGAATTTGGTAAAATGACAGTCACACGGGACTTATCAACTTATGTCTCAGGGTGACGGGCGCAGTGGTAGTGCCACGCAGAAGCTTGATTTTGATTACCTCTCCCGATCGGAAACTGCGTCTTTTCCGAGTCGAGGCGTATAATATTGCGGATGGGCTACCCTATCGGATCCATTCCGATTTGGATTAAAATCAGGACCCAGATCTTTATGATTAAAAGCCCTGAGTGGCATTTCGGTATTCGGCCGAATACCGAATAGTAGCCGAATATTCGTGGCATCTCTATACTTCGATTCAATCCATTTTGAACAAAAAGTAAAGCCGAATATTCGTGGCATCTCTATACTTCGATTCAATCCATTTTGAACAAAAAGTAAACAAACAAGTCACTGACCCGACCATAGACGGTTTAGTGATGGCCAATTGTAACGCCAACTACAAATCAATTAATTAATTGAGTCATACTAGCGGTTTTCCTTACATAACCTATATAAGCAAATTTAAAATTTCAATTTAAATCTCCTTCAAATCCTTACACTTAGATATAATATATACTCGTTCGATTGCGATTGAAATGTTCGATTTAATAATCGATTACTAAACTCTAATTGATTGAACCGAATGTTTTTTTTCGAACAGCAGTATGCAACCATAGGCAAGACATAGACGTATAGATGAATAATAACCTCACTTCTAAACTACCATTTTTCAAATACCGTCTTACGATGCTATTCAAATGAATATTGTTGGAAAAAGTGATGAAATATCAAGTCGAAATCTTCGAAATATACGTGAAAGTGTTACTTATTCGATTTATTGAGTGATTGCTTTAGAATTTTAACCAAACAGGTTTGTTTACTTTTTGTTCAAAATGGATTGGAACAGACTATAGTTTGAAGATTCTTTTTTTTTTTCAATAAATATTTAGTAGTCAAACACATTGATAACTCTGTGAAACGGTAAGACCAAAGTATTCTAGATGTGAAATATGATAATCTTGTCGCCTTTTCCATCAAAACAAGAAAATATACTAAATATATGAAGAGGCCATATCGTGGAACCTGTGCCTTGACATTGACAGACATCAAAGAAGTATTGAAAGTTACGCTTCATTTTCTGTTCGCGGTGTTCAACGAGTGAAAAGTGCGTGTGCTCCAATTTTCCCTTCTTCTTTTTGTACACGTTGGTAGCTGCTAATATATTAAATGATATCCAAGTTTGTTTAGTTTGACAGATCTTTGTTTCACTCTAGGCAAATAAAAGTATAATCTTACTCAAGTTGTTAATTTTCTCTGTCCAAAATTACTCGGTTCGAAGATATTCAAAAGTCAGGGTATGAAAGGACACTCATTAATGAACACCTATTTCGACCAATATATTTTTATTTCAATAACCGTGAAAACCTGAGAAAAGTTTGGACACTTTTCATGGTTACCCGACTTTCTATACCAGTCTCGATTTATTTAAATAGCGTGTAAAAAAAAAATGCCAATAAAGTCATGATCCCTAGACATGTCTCATGTGTAAAGCTACAATTTCCGTGTATGTACCTACATTAGCAAGTTGGATTAATTTGCCACGTTGTGGAATATCAGTGGACTAGATTTGGCAAAACCAATAATATAAACAAGCTGGATTTACATTTGTCTAACGTGTCGTGTCGTGAGACGTCAGAACGGTATCGATGACGATTAGTGTGTCGCAATCTGGCATGAGTCAGATTGCGACACACTAATATAAATTTAACCCACAGACCAGTGATCTAACCATATTAAATTTATGAAACCGTTCTGACGCGTCATGACACGACACGTCAGACAAATGTAAATCCGGCTTAATTAATGTCAATAAAATCAACGTCTCGATTTCACAGAAAAACAAGATTCTAGATAGGAAATGAAACTATTTTTCCGGATTTATAGTGAAAAAATAGGGTGGTTTGCATTAATATTAGACATAACTGGTTGAAGACTGTACCACCTCAGTTAACCGTGACCATGGGACCTGTAAAGGGGCCGAAACGTCGGTTTGTTTGAAAAAACAAATATACGCGATTTAAATCCGGAAAAATAGTTTCATTTCCTATGGGTAACAATCGCGAAAACCTAAGAACTCGATGAGATTCTAGATCTTGTATATTTATTTCCAATATACAAGATCTAAAATCTTGTGATACAATGTTAACTGCTCAATAATATGTTTTCTTGTTCGATACCTAAAGTAATAGAAACTTATAATTATTAATACAAAGATCGAACACTTAGACAAAACCGTAAAGATATCTAACTGGGTGACTAAATACTTTCATAGATATCTCATAGATGGCGCTACGGTTAAAAAGTCGTTGAAAACCAAATACTAAGATCCCACAAAATAAGCACAGAGAAATTCGTGAGGTTCGCTGGTTCGTTTGGTGGCTTAGTTGGCATAGCGTCTGGCACGGTTTGCTAGAAGACGTCGGTTCGAATCCGGCTGGACCGAAGGAATTTTTTCTGAGTGTTCGATCTTTGTATTAATAATTATAAAAAACTAGTGAAGTAATTTCACAAAACATTATTGAATATCAATTCAATAAAAAAGTATAATAGAAACTGAATCAAACGTATAGTAACCGTGAACCGCCAGAAATTAAAAGTTGCATGGTATCTTATGGTTGTGGCTAACAGTTTTAAAGAATACAAAATCAATATTAACGCCTATATAGATGGAATATTGTGTACCTGTGGTTTCCGGCACCAATGTAACGTTGTACTTCCCATTGAACATAGTAAGAGGCCATCTGTCGTCTACTGTTGATACGGACATCACTGTGCTTTCTGACTCAATATTCATAGTTAAGTTTGCACCAAGATATTTTATTCCTGAAACAGACCATTACATTATGAATAACGACGTCCTAATAACAGTTCTTTGCTTCATCCATCACGGAATATTGGTTACTAATTCTTTTCTCGTCTTGTGATGCCTATTACGATATAACCTCAACTAACCTCTAATTTTGAATTTCTTCACTCCAGGTGGCAATTGAGGTTTATCAATCTCTAATCGGTCCAGGTGTATCCTGATACCTGCGTACCCGAAGATCAAGGCTTGCAGGAAGCCTCCCATGCCCGTTAAGAAATTTACCGCTCCGATGTTCGGGCGACGTAGTTCGCTCCAAATCTGCAGATTTAGAGTTCGCACAAAAATAGTAAACCGTACCAAAAAAAAAAACAAGAATAACACCCACTTAGCACTCACTTTGAAGGGTTCTCGCACGTAAGGTACGTAGCTCCTGTTAAACACGACTGCTGCCTGTTCATTGTCGCCCAGTTCCAAGTGTCCGATGGCATGCATGCCCCACGTCATCGCGGGACCGCTGTCTCGTGTCACCGTCTCGTAGTATGCAAGATCGTTCGCTCGCGTACTCCTGGAAACACATCAATTCAGGTTCAGGATTCAGGTCACATTTTTAACCATACCTAAAAACAAGTAAAATATATTATGATGCGCCAATGTGTAGGCCCATAACCTAAGTATGCCTAACTATAGGCATACTTAATTATTAATTGGGTAGGAAACAATATTATTACCTAAATTAAATATTAATAAGAAGAATACATCGTTGCAACTAGATAAACATACAAACATACATATTCATAGGATACTGCAAAGGAAATCCCAACAAAACTGCATCAGCCTGTTTGATGCTTTCTCCTCGTTTGTAATTCTGGAACTCTGGATGGTAGTCCAGCACTTCGTCATACGGCAATGCAAGACTCCAGGCGATGTTCGCCCAGTGGTCCGGATTCTTCGCCAGGTAATAGGATTTACAGAGACACGATACATATCTGTAAAATTCAATCAAAGTTAACATTGCCTAAATCAATATGGTTACAGATATATTGATAATAAATCGTTTACTTTTCTTCCGAGCATACGGTAACACATTACATTTATTGTAATTGTTGTAAGATATTATTTATGATCTTTAATCAAATTTGGACAAAGCTACTTCGTGGAGACAATCGCGATTCGGCAGTCAACGTCAAATAATCTTAATCACTTTTCAAATAAACTTAAATGCTATGGAATACACTTTGAATCATAGATATTTGTGAGGAATCTAGACTCACGTCGTCTTGCCATACATGACTGTCTAACACGTACCTACCTAGTCTTCAATTTTGTAATATGACTTTTCAATTAAAATACTTTTGATGTAAGTTCATGATAATCTTAAAATATGCTCCGATAACTTATTGTAAAAACGTTACAGTTCCCCATAAAAAAATCGTTTACCTTAATTAAACGAAATCATGGAGTTTGGACTTAGTTCTAAGGTTAGAACTTAGATTATGGATATCTTCTTTCTTAATGCAATTATGTATATTTTTACGGGCATACGAAATATTTAAGCAAATGTACTGTGATGCCACAGTCATGATACCAGTCTCCTTACACTTTTATCTGAGAGGAACCCGAGAACCTAGTGGTTAGACCACTGTTTACAAATAAATTGAAGAATCTATACGCACTGAGCTAAATAGAGGGAAAATCCCGCTACTACATTTGTAAATGCAGAATTGGTCACATTGCTATGGTCTTCGTCAGGTCCCATCACATCTGAAATAAGAATAGGAAAACCGGAATTACATTATATTACAAAACAATATTAAGAATGAAAATATGTATATCTACTAGTGCCGTGTATTTTAAATTTTGCAGTCTGTATTTTCAAATTTCAAATGAGATTTTCAAAACACGGATAAATAAAGACAGTCGGCAAGTAAAGAAAGGAGAAGTAACCCACTAGCGATGTCAAAATATCCTGTAGTGTAGTTGATGACAGCTCTTGAAGCCCAGAAGTCTGCAATGTGAGTCACAATGTTACAGCCTCCATGCTGCAAATAAAACACTCAACTCTAGCGTTATGCGTTCAGGAATTAACAGTTTTACAATTATTCTATAAATTGTGTTGTAACGCCGAATACCGAAGGTTTTTTGGTATAAGATGATGTGTAGCCACGTCGAAAGACGGGCCAATCGGTCATATAATTGTGTTTGGCCAAAGTCGGTTGCTTACCCGAATTAAAGTTCACAATGTGCCTTCGTTACTATTGCTTCCAAAATGCGGAACTCACGGAAGTAAGTATTTATTTGGTCTGTGTGCCCACCTGAAGCCAAATCTCATCGCGAGTCGTGGCGAGATATTGCCTTGCGGCAAAAGCAATGTCAGCCGTGATGTGCTGCTCGAATTCGGCCACCTCGGGGCAGCATGGCTGTGTCGCCTCACGTCCCGTATACGCGCTCTCCCATGGGTATCTGAAAATTGAAGTAGGTACGACTCTTCGTCGCGCTTTGTGTATATCACTGCAATCGCAAAAGGTTTCTTTTTGAAGAACATTTAGGTTTTATTTTATTGTTTTATTTTCAAATATTTATTTTCGGATGATTTAAATACAGTGTAAGAACTTTTTAGGAGGTAAGGTGTACTACCTGTATCCCTTATGCCCAGTTATTTTGGCAAGGTCCTCGGCCACGAATGCCGTGTCGAGCCTGTACTGCAACAGCTTGTTGGCGTAGCGAGGACGCAACAGCAGGATCGACGGAAACATCCAGATCTCCGTGTCCCAGAAGTTGTGCCCTGAAATACAAATATGCATGCATTCTTAACAATATAATAGTAAGTTTGAACTGTCTTCATGTTGTTTAAGTGTTCGTATGATATAATCTTGTAAAGTCAAGTTGTTTGCTGTATACATAAAACAGCAAAGTTTCTTTCAAGCTGATGTGAATGATGCTCAATATGGAAATATAATATAGTGTGGCGGCTTTAGACGCCGCCTATTATCACCGGCTGGCTGTGGCAGTCTCTTTTTTTTTATACATGACAGGCAAATGACTCCGCTCCACCTGATGTTAAGTGGAAAGTGGTATCCTAACGCGAAGGAACCTAGTGCAGCGATGAAACCCTCACTGCACTAGCCACCTCCACCCTGCCTGCCTACAATATGCCTCTTCACGCCTCGTTTGAAGGACCCCATATCATAAGAGGGAGGGAAGACATGTGCCGGAAGGGAGTTCCATTTGTCAACCGTGCGGCAGAGAAAGGAGCCACCGAACCTTTTAGTACGCGATGGAATGCGGCAGGTAGTGAAACGGTGACGAGAGTCGCCAAGGAGAGTGTCACACTTGTCGAAAATGTTTGACAGTTTTTAGTTACGTAAATTGTCATGTCAGCGATTGCAAATTGTTTGCCCGGTTTGATAAAAGCTATTTGTAAAAACCACGAAACATTATAATTATATCGCCATTCACGAAGTTCACGAGGCCGTTTTATTGTTCGGTAGGGGAGCGATAAATTCCTCAAAATAGGTACCAGCATTTTATTGAAATGTAGCATTCACGTGTTCATGTGCTTTGAAAAAGCTAAACTAAAATTAATTTGTATTTTAAGTACTTAACTGTCGTCTTTCTTCCCTTAAAATCATGTTTCATACCTTCATAATCATCAAAAGTGGCCCCTCTGGCCAGTCCCGTAGGGCTCAGTCCGTAAAACCGGTCCAGAGGTTGGTACGAATTTTGCGAAGGAAGTGAACTCAATAAATAATACCAAATGCCGTTCACTATTTTGCCCTGGAAAGAGATGTTTACTTTCATCTGAATAAACACAATATTTTTTACTTGCACTCATATTAAACAGAAATAAGGTACTACTCATTGAACATATACACGTAAACTCGTACATACACATATCGTGGACAGTAACTTAACCACTTATCGACACGGATTCGCATTAATCCGGTCAGAAAAATCTTTATGTCCATGTAATAAAAGCGAAAATGGTTTCTTGAAAAAGCATTCCGCGTTTCGTGTCGGCGATCCAAGCGGAAGCGATACGCACGACGTTTACTTGTTTCTGACCGGTAGCAGTAGAGGGCCTTGTGAAAGAGTTCGTCCAGGGAAGTACTGCCTACCTATAACCTTACCTATTTCTGTCGCCAAGCAGTAATTTCAGCATTACTGTGTTTCGGATCAGAAGGGTAAGGGTGCTGGTGATATTACAGGCACATGAGACTTGTCAACTTGTGTCTCAAGGTGACGGGCGCAGTGGTAGTGCCCATAAGATCTTTGCTATTTAAAGCTCTGAATGGCACTTCAACTATAATGGATAGGCGTTCCGCTTACCACCAGGCGCACGACTTATTCGTCGCGTCAATTTGTATTATTAAAAAAAATCGCCTTTCCAAAGAGCGTTTGTTAGTGCACTTACAATGAATATATACTTTAGCGACAATAAAAAAGACTGAGTTGAGCCAATAGCCGATTGGCATGAATTGAAATGAATATATTGTATTACTGGCACCGACCAAGTGTAAGTTCCCCTCAATGTCCATTCCCGCCTGGTGAAGGATTGTCTGCCACTCCGCCACGTGTTTCCGATACAACTCCTCGCCTTCCTCCTGCAACACTGTTTGTAATGTAACTTGAATCTTACGTCGTCGGTTCAAAATCCAATAATTAATGAGGTTCATTGTTAATTTTGCTATTATAAACAGCAAAATAGATCAATCAACCTTGCAAAGCTGCAACGTTAGTTGTCACTTAGGTTTCTCAAACTAAACTATGCAATGTAAATTGTGATCTCGCTGCATGTTTTTGGTAATTCTATAACCGCAGAAAGTAACCGAATTGTGATTATTAACTAAAACCCTCACCATTTTTCGGTATTTTAAATGTGGCAACACGAAAATGTATGTCAAAAGGCAGCATATTTTTTAATGAAAAAATTTTCTAAATGTTTTTGAATGAGAAGCTGAGTACTATTTATTTCTCGAATAAGTCAGTTTGTAACCCGAATGGTGTAGTTACAGGAAGGACAAAGACCGGGGGTGGCCGGGGGCCATTCAGTGCTATTATATAAATTTAGTGCATCAGTTAAACCGCCGCTTTCAATTGTTTGGCCGCCCGCCCACTATCAAAAGTAAATTATTCCATCATGTAGAAGACGTGGAGCTGACAGGCATTCAAAATAGAAATTGTCCTCGCATGTCCTATATTTTTATAAGTGTACATCATGCGAATCAACTTTAAAGTAATTGTACTTATTTAAATATTATAACAATGAAATGACATAACTATACCATGTGAAAACCAGGTAGCAATAGTTTTCAAAATAATACACCAACCTTTAACAAACTCCTGTCTGGCTACAGTTTTATTTTTATCCGCAGTCATAACAAAGGTGAAAACTCTAGCACCGTGTTGCGGCACTACCAAGTGATCAGGTACTGAAGTCCAATATAGGCAGACCTCTACAGGCATGGGCTGGTATACCGGGTCTTCGGATTCCTTAGTTTGACCACACGTACTCCAAGATGGGCGATTCTCTATAATCTCAGGCACTGGGTCTTTGAACGCTATGTCTTTGCTCTTTGGACCTTGCATGAGACTGATTGCTATCCAGATTTCATGATGGATAAAATGTGGATCTATAATGGAAAAAGAAAATTAAGTTACTTCTACTTCTTCTTCTACAATATAAATATTAGACGTATGTGATGTTTCACATACATTGCTCTGATCCCAAAATAAGTAGCTACAGCACTTGTGTTATAGAATTTGGAAACAACGACGGTACCACAGACACCCAGACCCGAGACAATATACTAGTTTTCTTCACTGACGGGACCTCAAAGTTGGAAAACCTATGCAAACCGGTGTCCAAGCCACTCGACAGAGGTCGTCAACTTAGTTACTGATAGTATTAATATATAATAAACTTTTTCCTAATTAATCTTATTCTTAAATCAGAAGTAGGTTTATATAAGACGATAATCTCACCATTTGAAGAGCAGAAACGCCTTTAAGAAAGTTTATAGCAATTTATTGTTACAGCAACTTTGCGATGATTTGTATTAAATGATATACACGCATTATGGTTCGAAACATGTAGTAATATTCTACTCCCACAACTTACCAACATGTGGTTTTGAAATCACTTGAATTTGATTCACAATTGCTCTCGTGTAGTATCTATGGGCGTAAATTCGCTGCACTACTATCGACCTGTCTCTATCCACTCTAACTTTAAAGGCACCTTCTGTCGTGTCTAAAGTGTAAACAGGTTTAAACGGATGGTGCGTTAACGTTGAATTAAGTCTTATGTTGGCGTAGGCAGGGATTCTGGCGCGGTGGCTCTCCCCTTTTAGTCCGTTGTACAAGCCATTCATGTAGACTGCGTCACTGAAGATGTTGGTAGCTATGTGTCCGTTCCCGATTGACGGCATGAGCCGATCGTCTGTCGGAAGACTGTAAGAGAATACATAAAACAAATTGTAAATGTAATTATGTCTATTCTCCTTATACAATTGAATGGCAAATTGTATGACTCGATAAGTAGCTAAGTCGCTTCGAACTACTACCTATCGATATCAAGTGCTCAATGAAACCACCTAAAAACAATATAATTACGTTTTGTTTTTGCTATAGTTGTATTGTACATTTTTATGTAGAGTGATCAGTAGGCTTTGCATTTACGAAGACGGATTCCGAAATCCAAGATGTGAAGCCCAGTGCGTAAACTCACGGCACAGCATAATTTACCAGACGAAGGTACAGTTTTTATAGCCCAGCGGTTCGCACTGTGGACGCTAGATGAAAAAGACCGGTAGGACCATTTGGTAAATGACATTTTCATAATTAGATCTTGTTTGGATATTCCGAGCAGTGTCCCGAAGTGAATTTCATTGCTCTTGTACCTACTCATAGTAAAAAGTTAATGCAAATAAAGTGAACATAAACTAGGTTTATCCCTGTGACACTTCGTTTGACGTTTGTCATAGGGATGACGTAAAGTCCATAGATTTTTAGTGTACTTTGGTTTTTGTACTAAAAGTTCTCTTATGTAATTTTTTTTTGACGTATTCTGAACGGTGTATAGTTGTGTAAAGTGTTTTGTATTATATATTGAAAGAATAAAAAGACACAACTATAATTTGAATGCAATTTCAATAGATATTTTAGAAAATTTCAAAAACATTTATAATAATCATTATTTTTATAGCTTTCAAAAAGTAACAACACTGACACGTTAATTCATTGCCTATGATTAAAATTCATACTTTAAGAATGAATTATACATTTATTCATTAAATAACGAAAATTTTTTATCGATATGAGATGAGGTATCTCTAGCAAATGCAGTATAATGAAGTAACCTTTTTTACGACAATGTTGTCGTAAAAAAAAGAATAGTTTTCGGCTCATTTCTTACATATAAACATTGACTTGATGTTAATTTTACTTTAATTTAGTGTATTTACTTAAATATAGACTATTTTTCATTTGAAAGCCAGACTTATAAAAATAGTTTATGAAATACATAAATTAGTGCGCGTCGTTCTAAAGTTATATTGTGTAAATTTTTATCAACTACCTCAGGGGTCATCCTAGATTATTTTTAGTATAATCGAGATTATTTATAAACTATCAATCCATCAAATTTTAATGAAAGGTCAAGCTAACCAAAATATATACAACCAATGTGTTGAATTTTATCTACACTAACGGAATTCGCAAAAGGTGTTCGAGTTTGATTAGCAAAAAATTAAATCAACGTTACATTGATACGTGTAATAACTGAGGCCAGGTAGCATTGACCTACTCACATCTATATCGATTTCTTGGTATCGCCCCCCGAAAAGAACGATTATCTATGCGAGAGCTGATTATAATAGCTGATCGGTGCCTTTAAAACGCAGTATTGTAGTCTAGGCTTCTACTCTATGAGTAGAATCACTGGCTGAGTGAATAGATTTGTAATTAGAATGTTTTGAAAATGAAGTAAGAGAAAAGAATGGAGCATCTTGACATTATTGAATTGTAAACCCAACGCCGAAAGTATGTGAAAGAATACAATTAAGTATATTCTTGAAGATTATTCCAGTTTATATTCATAGAAGTACCTCTCGCAACGCATCCCAAGCTACGCCTCAGTTACAAATGGTGGAATTCGCCGGCTTATAAATGATAGAAGTACGAATACCGAAGTGAATTTTTTTTATATTTTTATTTTGAAAAATCTGGTAATGGAAGATATAATATAACTCAAGCCTGCAAATGATGGACGCAAGCTTACGAATGATGAAAGGATTCCGATGAAGAAAAGTCCATCGTGGAAAAATGTTTATATGTTTTTACGACGAAACTTCCAGGAAAGCGTACATAAGGTCGTAATTTTTATTTTTTATATTTAATATTGATTTATATTTGGTGCCAGTAAAAAGTGCGAGAAGAGAATATGTATTGTGTACCGGCACAAAGATTTAATGGATTCAACGACGTAGATGAGTTTTTGAATCAATTTGAGGCCATCAGTGTATTAAATAATTGGTCTGATGTGCGTAAGAGATACGTGTTGGCATTGTATCTGGAGGGGCCAGCTCTGCAATGGTATAAAACGTATTTTTCTTCATACACGACGTATGAGGCAATTGCACAGAAGTTAAGAGAGGAATTTCCCTCACAAATAGATTACGCCCGAGAATTTTATTATAGGCGACAGGGGCCTAATGAATCGCTGATAAGTTATTTTTATAGTTTAGATAAGTTAGCGACGAAAGCGAATATTCAAGATGTTCAGTTTATTAAACATTTCTTGGAAGACTTTGATACCCAATTTTCAATGGATGCTGGCTAGTAATTTGTATTTATCTAAAGAGGAGTTGAGGAAAACAATTATACAAGTAGATCATATATTTAATCACACTTATGATGTGAGTCGGCAAAATATTGATTTGCCAGTATATTGTCACATGGAGCACTCTCACAGTTGGCAAACACAGGGTGACTCTGCACCGATAATTAGACCCGAGTCTAAGCAGTTGGAATATCAAGTGCCACAAGCACCAGTCGTGCATAAGGATACGCCAAGCCAAGGGTATTCACAGGCACATAGTAGTGGATCTTCGTCGGGATCTCCTCAACGTGGATGTCAGCAAGGCGCAGCTGAACATTTAGAAAATTTGTCTACAATTGATAGTTTTAGTGAAGATAGGGCACCTTTTGTATCTGTTTTTATTAATGATGTAAGTTGCGAGGCGTTGGTGGATATAAGTGCTTCGGTTTCAAGTTCGGTTTCAAGTTCCAAGTTGTCAAAATTGGAAATGGACAACAAAATTTCTTTTTCTAAGTCCATGACAGATATTGGGTTAAAGAAAGAAAAGTCTTCTTTGAAACCCGTATCAAAAAGTTTAGATAGCTACGCCTCAGTTACAGTATCTAATACTTGATCTGAAAAACTGCGTGACCCTTAAACTGCGGGACATCTCACAACCCTAATGAAGAATGACACTTGTTATAAAAACAACTCCACTATCAAAGTCATTGACAGTGAGCAAGTGTTATATAAGTAGACATAACATTTAAACAAACTATAAATTAACAATGACTCAATTCCCGGTCAGATGATTGCTGAATAATTTCAAATAAGTCATGCGATATATTGTATGCAGCTGGAATAATGTCATATTGACGGAGATCATGGAGTCATTACATATTACCAGGTTATTAGGATGATGATGAAACGGAAATGTATACCACGTTTTTATGTAATTGGTATACTCTTCATTAGTAGGTCATGTCCTGTAAAGATAATGATAGCCTGGAGCTTTTGACAGTGACAGGAAAGGTGGAAGGAAAAAGGCAGGACTCCCAAATTGTAGTCAGATCAGATTTTCGAACAACTGGAACAAGCTGTCAACGCCGCACTTCGGCACTTGAGTCGAAACGATTGCGAAAAATAATGAAAAGACATATCCTATATGGTGACCTGGGATTCAGTCCTGGCAGAACCAATTTCAGGAATGGTTGCTCAGAATGATGTCCCATTGGTATGATTGTCTGAGATTTACTTTTATTGGGTTATGTCTAATGCAAATTCACTACAGTCTCGCGTTAGTGTTATAATATTAACTAGAGCTAAGTCCAAACTCATGGAACCACGATTTCGTTCAACCAAGGTAAACGACTCTTTTATGGGGAACTCCATACGTTTTTACAATAAGATTCCGGAGCATAATATATTAAGATTATCATTTCCTAAGTTTAAAAAACTACATTAAAAATATTTTGATTGAAAAGTCATATTACAAAATTGAATACTACATCTATGCTATATTAGATATTGTATATGTTAGATAAAGATGTATGGAAAGACGACACGGCTCCAGATTCCACACAAATTTGATTCAAAGTGTATTCCATAGCACTTAAGTTTATTTGAAAAGAGCAATCCCTAGAATTTATTTAATTTGTTAAGTAACATTTATTACGAAGTGCCATCCGCGGCGTAACTGTGTTACGCTCAAACCGGTCCCAAACTATAATTTTCGTGAAGCCGACCGCAAGGGAATTGTGCGACTTATCAAAATACAGCTATCAGTAACAACCATAATCATCAGTCAGCAATTAACTTCTTGGACATTGTTGATATCAAGTGACAACACAAACAACCGATTCCAAATTTCGCTTGGAATTGGAATCAGCGTTTTGCAGTTTGGGTTTTGTATCACAACGTCACAGGGCACCGGTTTCCAAGCGAAACTTCCGGAACTCTATAGTCAGACCTATTACAAAATCTGCTTACATAGATACATATATAATTCACGCCTTTTTACTACGGCAATGCTTTCCACTTGCTACGATTCTGACACAATTCTCTCGCCTTAGTACATTAGTAGGAGCACGAGGACATATTTATCCTTTTGATCCTACCAGTAGGAGCACCCAGTATGAGCGCGAGGAAACGGCCGTCAAAACAACGTCACTCCTCTCCTTCATATACGTCGATAAGAGTACTTTTGGCCTGATTTCTTTAGGACGTCATTGATCGTGGTAATTTCGCCGTGGTCAACCCTTTTCAACTTGCCCATTCACACTCGATTTATTCGTCAATCTTCTTTCATTAATTGAAGTTCTATTACAAAGCTTGTAACGTTATAACTTTTGACATTCAGGTTATCTAATCGCCATTGGTTTTTGCACGGGTTTCTAAGTTTTGTAGAGATGTGAATAGGGTAGTATTTATAAAGATCGCAAATCAGTCTCTACAATTTCTTGCATCTGATTGTAACAGCAGGCCCTAAGAACGTTTGTCCAACTTTTTTTAATGAGTGTAATGAAATTTATTTGCTCAAAATGTTAAGTTTGTTGCTTGTTGTAAGTGTAATTAGGTTGCTCGAGATTGACAGAAACAGACACAGCTTCGATAAAATTAATAATATAATTTTTAATGTCCAACAATTGAATATGTGAAGCACTCATTTTTGATGTCAATTTTTATCAAACAATCAGTCACTCAGTAACAACTTTTGTCCTTAAGCAACACACTCAGCCTATTGACAAACTCATTACTTGGTAACATTTTAATGTTCATTGGTAGTGCATTGTATATTTGGAGACACGTCCCATTTACATTAATTTTATAGAAGGTCAATCCAGGTCTATTACTATATATAGCAGTCTAGTAGGTCCCTAACATTTCTGTTAAGGACGTCCCATTTTTCAAAGAGAATCAGCTTTTGTTTGACAAAACAAGAAAATTCAAAAATCTTTAAATAAAGGCGCACCCGATGTTCGAGGTCAAACATGAGTCTGTAAACAATTTTTTACACTCAGTTGTGCTACCAAGAGATACCAAACCACAAGCCCATATCCAATAGTTAAGGCAGGCAGCCAAAACTGTGGATGGTGAACTCCTCAAAACGTAAACGTAGCGACGAAACTACGAGTGACTCTACATGTTGCAACACTTAGCAGCTACTACCTATTTCTACGCCTAAGATTATTAAGTTTACTTTCTGAATATCCTTCTAATTTCCATTAAGTTTTATTTAAGCTTGTCGACTTGTTACCATTCACTGAGCATACGCGGCGCCAGTACAAACAACATTTAATAACTTGTAATTAAATGTTATATAGAAGTCAATACAGTGAAACTAATAAACCTCTTTTCAGTTCCTTCCTTAGTGATATTTTACTGACTGCGTAATAGCACTTAAAAATATAAAAGGAAAGCGCCGCATATCCCACTACAATGCTCCGTCTTGACCAGCTACAGAGCAATATACTAAAGAGTACCCTAAAGTCTTCAGCAAACTCTTGAGGGTGCTGAGCTTCCTGAAAAACTCGAGTGGCACCACCTTACGCAAAATAAGCGCTACAATATCGATTAGCGGAAGGCAGCGCATACCATGCCCGTATACCCATTATACCATGCTTAATAACAACTACACTCTATTTCTAAACAAAATAAATCATAAACCCTATCTTATTAAGCACAACATCGATGGCCACTGGCTGCGTACCGCACGATATCTCTTATAATCGCCTTATAATCTGCTCTTAATTACCGACCGCACCGCATCTGTAACGGGCCTGAATATTGACCTACGTATAACATTGTCCATTTTAAATGGAAATGTAGTAGTCAATGTTACTGTACAGTTACTAGTTCACTTTAAACTCATTATAATTACAGAACTGTTAACTATTTGTATGTTCTGTATTATCGCTTTTAAACTAAGCACATAAATTTGTATTGGTTGAGTGAAACTCAATACAGACATTTTCAAACTTTCCGAGAATGCAATATGATATAGAATTTGGTAGCTTTCATGTTTTGAATTAAGTAATACCGTGAGTTTACAATGTTGAAGTAGAGTGATTGAGTAAAAAAATTACATGGAAATTAGTACATGGGAACTAAAAACCACAATAAAAAAACAATATTAGGGTACTGTAAATCCACCAAAACAACAGGCAGTATCGATCTACTCAATTTATAAAGTTCGATATAGTCGTACCATTATGTCCTATCGTGCATAATTGTTCATTTGTTACAAAGGGACTTCCCTTGTGGTCGAATCCCCTACCTAATAATCGAAGTCTAAACTTACCTATGAGTAGAGAAGACGTGAGCATCGTCGCTTACGTCCACTGATTCTTCGACCTGTGCTTCTACAGTAGTGTAATTGCTGCCTCTGGTAGAAAGAAAAACCACCACAATCGCCGCCACTGCTAGCAAACCTAGCATGGCGGCCACCTGCTTATTCTTTGCCAAGAAATGCCACATCCACGCTACCAAACAACGTCTTATTATTCTTGGACAGAAACCTGCACGTTGATTCGACAATCTGAATTTGACTTTCAATTGTTTTCTTTTTATCATTTAAAAATATTTTTCACTATTTACGCTGAAACTTTTTGTTTGGTTTTCTCGTTATGTTTTTTAAATATTTAATTTCAAAAAAATATTTGCATTTTTTTAAATTAAATTTTGTTAAAATTTTTTATTGGTAAATTGAACGTAATGAACCGCGCGCGGTGGAGCGTGTGTCACTGTGTCGCTCAGATCGCGACCTGCGCTTGCGCCTGACATGACACACATTATGATTCCATTAACAAAGATAATATAAGTGTTAGGGTCATCTCTTTGTATCCACATCCTGTACAAAAAAAAATCTGATTAACTAAATAACTGAACGGGTTTTGTTTAAATTAAAATAGTTCTACATACAAAGTACCTACTGGCAATAAAACTAGAACCTCCCATTATTGCGTGTTCAGACAACATTCTAACATGTGTAATCATTACTAAATTAAACCTAATCATCATGATTGAAGATTAGCTAGGGATATTCCACACTGTCTTCTCTTTAGCTTTTCGAATACAAATATATACTACTGCTTTATATGCGCGCTGATCTCATATTGCTTAACTTAACACGATTTCCCAGGGTTCTGAACATCATGAAATTTTTCTTCAACGTTAGGTTGAACATTCAGCATTAACTACGTGACGTGACACCTACGAAATTGCAAGACAACCCTAAAACTGGAATAGTAGATGGTAGTAGACTCAGTGAGTGATTAAGTATTCCCGGTAGAGTGATGAGGACCCTCTAACTCAATTGTCGCTTCCTTATTACATCACCGCGTCGCGGTCGCCGAGCACTACTTGACATGCAAGACAATAGCATCTGCGTTCAGTCGCTTAATTAACTGCTAGACAGTATAAGGAGCCACCTCGCTAATGAATGACATGTATGTGTGAACAGCTCCGAGGGAGCACGACTGCTTCTCGATTAAGAAGTCGACGGTTCGAGTCCCTATGGCGGCATGTGAATACAATTTCCATGTTACGAAGATTTTTTAAATTTGAATGTTAATGAAGTAAAACAGCATGTCGAACAACACAATGCGGCTGTTGGCAAGCCTGTCCATAACAGTTGCGGTGCCACTCAGAGCTTTAAATCAAACAGATGTTAGGGGCATTGCCTTCGCGCCCGTCACCCTGAGACATACATTGACAAGTCCCATGTGCCTGTAATTTCACCAGCACCCTTTACCCTTCCAAATCGGAACGCAGTAATGCTCACGTTGGCAGCAGAAATAGGTAAGGTGGCAGGACAAACTCTTTCACAAGCTGCTCTACCATTTCTGAGAGGAGACGCATGCCCAGCAAAGGGACGATGATAATAATATTTAGGTAGTGTGTTGCCAGTTCAACCCACACTAACTCGTCATTACTTATTAAGAGGCACCAAAAAGGTACTCATAATAACAATAATGTATAAAACATATACCACTTGTTGCAGAAGGCAGCCATCCTTGGCTCTATCTCTTGCGGATGATAGAGGACAAATTAGGCTTTTGTTACCCACCATCACCACTCACACAGACATGCTGCATTTGCTTGATTTCGGTCCGCAGGTGCTGCTCAAACGAGCTAACAAGTTGAGAAAAATAAAGATAATAGTAATAATAAAAGTATGTAAGAATGACAATTGAATAAATATTTGTTAGTTGGTTAGTAAATAAATAAAAAGTGTAGCAGAGACCAAAGAAAAGTAAAAAATAAAATGTAGGTAGTACATTTATTTCGAGTCATATGTATGAGTAGATAGAAAAAGACGAGAAAAGAAATTATTCTAGGACATTTCTAGTATTAATAAAAAATAAAATGTAATCATTCATTCGAGCGTATATAGCCCACAAAAATGCCTAATGTAATTCAAATTCAATTAAAACTCGTCACATATTTTCAATTAAGTCGAATAAATTATAGTTGTCTATATGACTGTTACATAATGAAAAGCGATTAAGGCGATAATTAAAATACGAGTGAGGGTCATCTCACGAGTGTTTTAATGCCTAATTATGTACAGTTACATACACTGCTTTATTTACACACATATTATAATATGATATCAGGTAACGTGTGAAATTGTCAAAATTGTTTGCTATTGACATTTCATTTCGAATAAAACTTCATTACGATTTACATTAGAATTGAGGTTCAATCAAATTGTTTTGTTTTTCAGAGATGTTCGAAAATTGAATGTCTTAATAAAATCGAATTCGATGTTGAAGCAATAATAACATTTTCACAGATAAGAAATTTGTTCTAACAAAACAATTTACCTTTATGCTGGTCGTAATTTGCGGTTTTTGAACACATTATAGAGTTTATGATATGTGTGTAGATAAAAATAACTGAAATGGGGCTCCGAGTATGAGAGTAAAATAAAATAAATAATAAAAACAATGAAATAGAAAAAACTATCTACACCTGTTACTTATACATAATGTTGGCACATTTTGTTAATGTAATGGATAGACAATGATCAGGTGGTGACTGTACTACAACACTCAAAATCTCATACTCAGGTTTATATTCTATTCGTTCCAAAGACACTTAAGAAAATTACTCTTATTATATAATAATAATAATAACGCACACACTCAACATAGCCCCGCACTAGGGAAACCCTGTGTCGCGGGTGCCATGGACACACACATAGACAACCACAAATTACACCCAAACTCATGAGAGAAATAAATGTAGGCCATTCAAATATTTCTCCCGGCCCGGGAATCGAACCTGGGGCCTCTGCGTGACAGTCCGGCATGGTAACCGTTCGGCCACGGAGGCAGTTGAAAGCATCAAGCTTTAAAAAAGTCTCGATGCTGTACTTACTGTATAATTATTACTTCCACTCCTCTGCATACGGGACCGCGAGTTCTTTCCCCCCGACAGGTAAGCAATTCTTTTAATCAATGAGAGTACAAGAGTACAATCTTACACAGTCTTGTACCCTCAGATATTATCTCAGTACAATCTTCACCCTAAGTTTATACAAAAGTGCACTTAACTTAGTTTATATATAAGGGTTAAATTGGTATTTTGTGGCGCGTTTGTACAGTAGCGCGCGTTCACTAGACCGTATTATCTTGTCATGCTCTGTTACCTTCCTCGTTAGAAAACTACGGAATTTTGTTCCGTGCCTAAATTGTAAATAGAACTTTCTAGAATCGCTTGGAAGCCTAAAACGCTTCTTGGTTTTATGAAATCGCGCAGTAAAAGCTTTACTCAATTTAAACTGCCACAACAGCCACAACTGTAATAATAGTGAGCAAGCAGTACCTACCATAGGTAAATTCAGTAAGTACCTAATAAGCAGTGATATGAATAGTCACTGTAATGTACCTAATTAAAATTCATGGAAATAATACGTATAGAGTGCCTATTATGCCTCCCACTAAAATCCAGAAATTATTGTAGAGTAGAATACGTTTATTTTCCAGAATACATTAACTATACAGCTCTTGAGTAAAATAAAGGTAGGTGTACATTGTGCAAGCAGATGTGCAAATATTAATGGATTTCATATTTCGTCTCGACAGTATTTCAAATGAATGTAAATTAGTATTCGTATTTTCTAATTAGTCTTTATTAAAAATGGACTACATAGAAGCAACGTGTCAAAAGCCATTGTGTCAGTTGTAATTTAAAATATGTCCTTGTAACAATTTAATTTTAGTTAATAATGTCTTGAAAATAATTATACACATGTTGAACTAATCATTCGGCAACGAGATTGGTACAAAATATTCATAGTTTCAGTACTCGTTTGCCTTTGACATGATGACATGTATTGTATTTTGTTGAACATTTTCGATGTATTTTATATGTATTGTATGTATGTATTTAGAAGAAAAGTGTTGTATTATGAGTAAAAATATAACAATTCTGTTTTATTTTTTTGTCTTCAATTTTTAAATATTTCAGAGGAAAGTAATATTCGCTATGTGTCTCTATTGACATCTCTATAAATGTAACGTGCCCTGGATAATAATGTATGCATTCAAATGACGTATGAATGTGTGGAATTGTTTTTTCTTAAATAATGTTTTGACGTAAGCCTCATGACCCACCGCCGAAACTTGAAACCGTGGGTTCGAATCCGGACTCCACCTCTCAACTTAAAGGTGAAATTTAATTTGAAATTTACCATGAGCTTTACGGTGAAGGAAACATCGTGGCAGACTATTGCCTAAACCATCGCCTGAGAGGAGACGTATAAATGGGTTGATGTTGATTGATAGTGTTATCTCTCTCAAGTGCCTCGCTATTGGAGGATGACCGTCAATTTTGCAAACTTGTCCCTATCCATGATCAAACGAAACAGTTCTGCACGTCTCTTAGATTCAGTCCCTTATTTTGCGAAACCAAGACCTTGAACCTTTCCTATTTGACTTGAAGCCGGCATCACGTGTCGAACCACGTGATCGAGATATACGATTTTGTGCTTCTTGATAGTGAGCATCAGCCAGCGTGAGGTGTTAATACAGTTGTACATAGTAAAGTACAGTCTCGTTCCAGACTTTCTGCGTCCAGATAATACGAAGCATACATAAATAGTGTTTACAATGTACCAATTATTTTTACCTGTTCACAAACCGTTCATAGCAACCCGTTGATTATGTTTACCTTTGCTAATTGGTATGTATTTTCGTCTCAATATCAGTCGATTCATATTTTAATGAATAAGACATTGAAAGGCTAAGCCAAGAACCAATCAAGAATAGATTTACCTCCACAAAGTAAATCATATTTACTATCACATGTAAACGACCGTAGCAAGCCCAGTAGCGTTGATCATTCATCATTTGGCAGCAAGTTCAATATTCTGCGGGCGCAGGCATAGTGTAATCATTACAAATGATGCTGTAATATAGACTAGGCTTTGAGCATGGGCAGGTAATTAGTTTGATAGATGTGTTTCTTTA